GTCTGTCTGTCTGTCTGTCTGTCTGTCTGTCTGTCTGTCTGTCTTTCCCCACTTTCCACCCTTTTGTGCATATACCCAATTTCCTGGAAATTCTTCTAGTTCCTCCAGTTTAATGGTCTAGCTGACTGCCCTTCACCTCTTAAACTGAAGCTCTCCCCCCCATTCTCACCAATTCTCTTAGGTTAGGTTAAATGTCCTTGAAGTGGTTTTGGTTACTAGCCTGTCTTTTCTATAAGTTCCTAGTACTTCTGCAGTGCTTGGTATTCAGTAGATTCAGTAAACTAAATGAAAATATGGATTTGTAGTATTGTAAGTCTCTATGATGACTACTTATCACATGGATTCAATTATAGGCTAAAGTACACAGTAAAAATCTGCAGTTGTATAACATAGGCTACATATATACTTACACAGAAAGTGACTTGAGTGGGTATTCTCCACATCTGAATCCTGCACTGAGTGGGCTTTTGTGAGCATAGACAGCATGACCTGCCTCCCTCAAGAATTCACCCTTGCCGCATAGCAGGATGTATGTCAAAACAGTGTTCCTTTAGGAGGGCCTGTCTCCTGGTAGGTTACTTTTGTTAGGATTGGTCTATACTACCAATTCTCAGCTCTCTAACTTCTGGAGAGGGCCTAGCAGACCTGTGGCCTTTCCAGATGCTGCTGGTCTCTGGATGTGCATGGGGACCACCCCAGATTATATGAAGAAGAACAATCATGCCCTGTCATTGCAAGCAGCTTCACAGGTGCTTTCCAAGGTGCTGATGGATTCATAAGAAAAAGGGAGCTAATGGTAATAGAGGCTTTCATAATCTAGACAATGCTGTCTTCTAATTTATGCTCTAATTTCATCTCTCTTTTATTAATCCAAATTCTGTATTGTACTGGTGTCTTAGTTACTATTCTATTGCTGTGAAAAGACATCATGACCAAGGCAACTCTTTTAAAAGAAATCATTTAATTGGGGCTTACTTGCAGTTTTAGAGTGTTAGTCCATAATCATCATGGTGGGAAACATACAGTCATGACACTGGGACAGTAACTGAGAGCTTCACATCCTGATCTGCAGGTAGTAGACAGAGAGCCTGGGGCTGGTATGGGCTTTTAAAACCTCAAAGCCCACCCACAGTGACACACCTTCTCCAGTAAGGCCGTACCTCCTCATCGTTCTTATCCTTCTCAAACAGTTCCACTCCATGGTGACTAAGCATTCAAATACATGAACCTATGGGGACCATTCTCATTCAAAATTCCACAACTAGGATGTTTATACCTTCTTGATATACTAGAATTTTATGTATTGTTCAATAATTTCATGAATATTGGTCCTAAAAGATTTTCCTCCTTCTTCTCCTCCTCTTCCTTTTCCTCCTTCTTCTTCTTTGTTTTTTTTTTCTTTAATGTATATAGGTACTTTGCCTCCATGTACATCTGCATACCAGAAGAGGGTATCAGATGTGAGCTGCTGTGTGGTTGCTGGGAATTGAACTCAGGACTTTTGGAAGAGCAATGAGTACCCTTAACCACTGAGCCATCTTTTCAGCCCAGCTCTTTCATTCTTTCCTCCATTCTCTTCCACACTATTTCTTGAGTTTTAGAGGAGGTTGTATAAATGTCCTGCTTAAGGTCAAATGCTTAGCAGTTGTGCATTCTAAGTGTGGTGAGTATCTAGGAGTCTGCACTCACCCCTGCACACTACAAAGAGAAGATTGTCTGACAAAGGATGATTGTGGCATTTAAGACCCATAGCTTTTGAAATGACATCTCATGTTGGCTTGGTAACCTGTTTACTAGTAAGGGGAAAGACCTCTCAGTGATTTATTGGTTACTAAGTTTCTTCTGTGAATTACCTTTTCATATCTTTCATTTTTTTCCTGGTTTTGTTGAAGTTATCTTCTGAGTAAAGTGTATTACACGTATTCTCTCCTTTGGCCCAAAGCCACTCTCAGCTACAGCCCCTTTTCATGAACAGGCTATTAATTTTAACCAGACGATATTTGTCATTTCCCCTTAACAGGTTTATATTCTTAAGTCTAATTACTCTCTTCCTTGAAGTCATAAAGAGCATTGCTCTATATTGTATTCTAGACACATATTGTTTGCGGGTCACATTTTTATGCTATCTGGAACTGACTTTTGTAGAGTATGAATAAGATTCTGGTTTATTGGCCTGTTGTTATTGTTTGGTTTTGGTTTGCCATGCTGGGAACTGATCTTAGGGCCTCACACTTGCCCTGCAAGCTCCTAGTCTATTCCTAGTTCCAGCTTAATTTTTTAAAATTTAGTGTGTGTGTGTGTTTGCACTTTTGTGAGTTCATATGTACATGAACATATGCAGGAGCCCACAGAGGCTAGAAGAAGGAATCAGATCCCCTGGAACAGGAGTTACAGGCAATTGTGAGCTGCCATGTGGGTACTAGGAACCAAACCCAGGTTCTCTGAAAGAGCTATAAGCATTATTAACTGCTGAGCCATCTCTCCAGCCACTAATGTTTTAAAACATTAAACATTTTAAATATTCTCAGCAATATTAAGAAGGTCATTCTTTCCTGCTGAGAAGCAGTGTGTGCCTGCCAGCTGCATTAGTCACTTAAGGAAACAACTTTTGGCAGTTTTCTTTACTCTAAGTTTGTTTTCTTGAGTTATTTTCTTGGTGTTTATTTTGACTTAAGATTTTTTTATTCTTTTTTCCATCTTTCATTAATCCTTGTTCTATTTTTGTTCTGCCTTTCTGATATATCAAGCTGTATGTGAGTTAATTAATATCTAGCTTTTTTTCTAAAATAAGCTGTCAGTAATTTTCTTTTAAAAACATTACTTATTCCACAGATGTTCTTTATTCTTTGGTTTCTTTTCTCTTGATTTCTAAAACTTTTTTTCTTTCTATTTAGAATTGTTAGTTAATTTTTTTGTATCTGTTCATACTAATTTCTAACTTAGTCATATTATGGGCAAAGACTATAACCTATGTGACATTGACCAGACATAGATGAGCAATTGGGTGCCGGATTACTGATGTGGAAAAATGTTATGGGATTTCCCACCCAGTTCTGCAGCAGCCTCAGAGCCCTAAATAAACATTTGGACGCTGTATTAGTTATGAATACTGTTGGCCAGTGACAAGGGCTTCTTATTGGCTAATTCTGTCTTAATTATTAACCCAAAACTACTAATGTATGTATATCTACATGGTCTTCTCTTACTGGAAAACAAGTCCGGACCTGTTACTCCTGTGACTCACTCTGCCTACATTTCCCAGAATCCTCCTCATCTCCTAGTCCTACCTGTCTTGCTTCCCTATTGACCAACAGTGCTTTATTCATCAACCAATAAGACAAACATATACAGAAGACATCCCCATCAGAAAAACTTGGAGATAAAGAGAGAAACAAGAGCATTATTCAGAGCCAGTGAGTTTACAGTACTTGTGAGCAGACTTGCAAAAGGATCATGTGGTCAGTTAGAAGAGAACTTTGTACTGTTTTTAGAGAGGCAGGCATATTTAATGTTCATGAACAACCTTTTCTAATTAAGGACAATTTTTCATAGTTGCAGAAGACCCTGCAAAGTCACTTACAGAGCTGTCTCCAGACTTTGGACATTCATCATCACCACCACAACCTCCTTCCATGAACTCCTTATCCAGCGAGAACAGATTTCACTCTTTACCCTTCAGCCTGACAAAGATGCCCAATACCAATGGCAGCATTGCTCATAGTCCACTGTCATTGTCAGTGCAGTCTGTGATGGGGGAGCTGAACAGCACACCTGTCCAGGAGAGTCCACCCTTGCCCATCTCTTCTGGTAATGCACACGGTCTAGAGGTGGGCTCACTGGCTGAAGTGAAAGAGAACCCCCCATTCTATGGGGTTATCCGTTGGATTGGCCAGCCACCAGGGCTCAGTGACGTGCTAGCTGGACTGGAACTGGTAATTTGTTTTGGTCTAAAGTCTACATCTTTTCTGCATGGGATTTTTGTCTAGGTTCTCCCCTATTAGATAATTTCTTGGGAAATTGTTTTATTTGTCAAAAAAAAAAAAAAAGCCAGTAGTTTCTTATAGTATTGCCTAGCTTCACCCTTTGCCGTTCCTCAAGCTTCTGGTTCACTTATTCCTCATGTTTGTTTCTCTAAGATCAAGGAATAGATTGATATTTTTTAGGCTAGAATATTTAGCCTCCACATATAAACAGAATGCAGCAAAGAAAGCAATTCTGTTACCAGCTTTTCTTCTTATTCATTAGCCTCTTCCCATTGCAGTCAGTGTAGGGACGTTATTGACTTTATTAATCATCATGTTTGGAGGTCTTTGGGAGAGGGGAAGGTTTTATCTTTGGATATTAGAAAAGCATATAGTATGATATTTCATAACCAGAAGGGAGAACTTGAATAAACTTAGGTATTACCTAACTATGTATGGTTTTTAATTTTTTTCACTTGTTTTCTTGCTGTCGAGGAACTAGGTAATTTATCTACTCCTGCCGCTTGGTTTTAATACTTTTGGAATGAATGGCTCAGGGAAAGCCAGTAAACCTGGACAATTCTGAGCGTATATTTTGAAAGACAATGTATCAAGTACTTCCTGGTGGGCTGAAGAGTTGTTTTTTTAAGCTACTAGCTAGGGGCCAAAGCAACAGTTAGTCAGTCCCTGTTCGTTGGTACTGTTGTAGTCAGTACAGATTTGAATTCAGAAAAAGTGAAAATTCCATAGTTCTTCCCTGCTTTTTTTTTTTTGCGAGGTGCTGTGTAACATATACCAAAGCCTTTCTTTTTCAGGAAGATGAATGTGCAGGCTGTACGGACGGAACTTTCAGGGGCACTCGCTACTTCACCTGCGCCCTGAAGAAGGCGCTGTTCGTAAAACTGAAGAGCTGCAGACCCGACTCTAGGTTTGCGTCCTTGCAGCCTGTTTCTAATCAGATTGAAAGGTGTAATTCTTTAGGTACTTGGATACTTTTAATTTATTACCCATCCGGAATGACTGTTTCATGCTGCCTTTCAGTAACTGAGGGTGATAGGGTTTAAATGATTTAGTTTCCAATGTTCATCAAGTTTCTGAGTTAGTAAAGATTGTTACTTGGTGCATAAGGAAACTGTCCTAAGAGAAGATACATTGAAAAAGAGTCAGGAAAAGTGTTTAGGATCTAAAGAGTGAAAAGTAGTGTTTTTTTCTCTCTATTGATTATAAACATTTAATTTTTGTCATGGGTGGTAGAAATGAAAATGTGGCCCTTTTAGCATTAACTTCCCCCTCACCATCTTATTTAAGTAAGTCACTCAGGGTATCCTATGAAGAAGTCTGATACAGTCTGGAGATGCAGTCAGCTTGGCAGATGGAGGACAGTTTTTCTCATCACTTGTCACCAGCTTGTTCTGAACAATAGTGAGAGTCAAGCAGGGGAAAGTAGGGAAACCATCTTTATGAAAAACATTTTTTAATGTTATGTTTGAAAATGAAACATTTTGGACAAGTAACAAAATATTTATTTGATAGGTGCTTAATTGACTTAATTTTCTAAATTCTATATGAAGGGAGTGGTGTTAAAAGTGAATAATAACATTTTTTAAATAAGCCCAGATAAATAACAGTTAATTAAAGTAAAAAAAAATTGTAGGAGGATGCCAAAATATACTTTAAATGATATACATATGCACATGTGTATGAATATATGCTATTATGGTTTCAAAGAGTTATTTTCATTTTTTATCTTTTCAGCATTTGGAGGCTACTTAAGTGAAGTAGTAGAAGAAAATACTCCACCAAAAATGGAAAAGGAAGGTTTAGAGATTATGATTGGAAAGAAGAAAGGTATCCAGGGCCATTACAATTCTTGTTATTTAGACTCAACTTTATTCTGGTGAGTTCCTACTTTCTGTAGTGGGTAAAGATAGTGCTGTGGGAGGGAGGGGAGACAGGTAGATGTGTGTGTATGTGAAAGGAGGTGTCAAATGCCTTTGAGTAGAGAAACTGATGGCGTTAAGAAAGACCATGAGATTTGGTCCTTTGTAGCTAAAGAATTTCATGTACTATTCTTAGATCCAAAACAGTAACATAAAAATATTGCAATGAATAATGAGTAGAAGCAGTGATCCCTGTGAACAGATACCCTGAAGACATCTGTCTCCAATGTAGTATGATTGCACATGTGCTAACTAACCTGCAGTAAGCTATTGGCATTGTATGCTGTGTGTGTGTTTTAGTATACTGAAAATTCTTTATATTAGTATCATGAAAATTCTTTATATTAATAATTATTTTCCATGGGATCAGTGATGCCCTCTTTTGTGTAGTTTTCCCTAAAATGGAACAAGTTAATATAACAAGGATCGTTAGGCTCTGAAGATTGAACCAAAAATATGTAGCCTTAAAGATTGTGCACTACCAGTTAAACTAAGAGCATTTGCCAACTATGTAAACTGTGACACAGAGTTAGGAAGTTAGCATGGATGTTAGAATTTTAAAAGTAGAGAAAAGAATAAAAATGGTGGGTCTTTTTGTTGGTGGAATATTTTCAATTAAACAAACCTTACAGCATTACTATAATATTCCTTAGATTTCCTAATAAAATTATTTTAGCCAAATTTTATTTTCTTTGATACCAACAATTTTCTGTTGCTAGCTACCCACAAGTTATTTTAAGGAAAAACCTATCTTGATATTAAGATAGATTTGTTCCAACTACTGATCTCCAACTTTCTCCCCATGTTGTCTCTGTGTGTGACTGATTTCCAGGCCTCTCTTGGCTTTTGCAGACAAGTTTCTTTCATAACATCTCTTGGCATGTTTTTATCCTGGTATTTTTATCTTGGTGTTTCTGGTGTGGACCTACAGGGTCTGTGCAGTAATGGCTGAACACAGGGCCTGTGCTGTCTGACCCATGAGTTCTTATGCCAGTGGTTCCCTACACTTTGTTCCTTTTCCTTTCTGACACCTTTAAGAATCTTTCTCAGATATTACTGTGTTTATAACATGAGGGAAAATGTTCTTTTATTTTGCAGCTTATTTGCTTTTAGTTCTGCCCTGGACACTGTGTTACTTAGACCCAAAGAAAAGAATGATGTAGAGTACTATAGTGAGACTCAAGAGCTACTAAGGACAGAGATAGTTAACCCTCTGAGAATGTAAGTAGAAGATGTGTGTTTTGTCTTTAGTTGGTTTTCTGTTTGCTTTTTTCTTGTATAGTAGTTAATTTATGCTCTGTGCTTATATAGTTAAAAAAAAAGAGCAGAAATTAGTTCTCAATGAAATACTGACTTTTTAAAACCTTTACTCTTCCTCTTCTGTTTATTATTTCTTAAGTCTGTGCAGTGTGTAGAATGTAGTGCATTCTGTGAAATGATGTGAACCATTTGGTACCCTGCTCTACAAGTTAGTAATGACTCTGCACTAGAAACAGATGCGGTGTATTAAAGTAATATGGTGTCTTAGGTCTTCTTCTACTCCTCTACTAAAGTGAGTTGTAAATATACAGAAGCCCATGAAGACGGTGGGAAGATGGTGATCACAGGACCTTTATGTGATGAGGAGTTAGGTTATCCACTGATCATAAAACATAGGTCAGGGACATAGAGAACAAATTATATAATTTAAAGTCCAATTATGATAAATTTAAATTTTGTTATATACTTTTCTTAACAATGAAAATAAAAATTAACTTACATTTAAAAAATAACAAAATATGCAAATATAAGGAGTGTTTTAAATGACTTACTAGATACTTGTTTTCCTTAATTTTGTAATTACCTTTTAATTATGTGCTTTGATTTTCATATTATTTTGTCTCATACAAATTTTAAACTTTCAGATTTTTCTTTCCCTATGTAAATGACACTAGAACAGTACAAGTCAAATCTTAACTACAAGGTGTTAAGCCTTCCTTCTTTTTAAAATGCTGTAAGTCTACCAGTAAAAATTCTTTGCATACTATTGCCCAACCAGTCCAGAATCATAGTTATCATACTTTGTCACCCACTCTACAGCAAGAAACTTGCCAGATGGCCTATGAGACCAAGGTATATCTTGGCAAACATGGTGGTATACACCTGTAATACCAGCACTTCGTAGCTCAAGAGGCTAAGGCAAGATCAGTTGAGCTCAGAAATTTGAGATATATTTCTTGTGTCTGCAAAGTTCGTATCTGTTGTTTAGACAGAGATTTTGCTTTCTCTATTGGAAGCTTCCCACAGGCAGAGACCCTATTTTGTTAGTTTTTTTTTTTTTTTTCGTTTTGTTTTTAAAATCTCCTTTTGTATTCCTGGTGCCCTATACATATCCTTACATAAGTGGTATGTGTTTAGTATATGCTGATTGCAAAGAGGTAACAAGTGAGTGAATAGTCAAAGCAGGTACATGATATAATCAGCTGGCTCTGACTTGCTATTTTAAGCCCATGGTCTCCTGTAGTCAAACAAAGAGAATGTTGTAATTATGTTGACAAGTTTGATTGAAGACTTTAGATTTTTAGTATTTTACCAATTCCCTTTTCAATGTCTCTTATCCTGTATATTAAAAGGACTCCTAGAATTTGGATATTCTATTTTATAAAATGTTGTTTTAATGTAACAAGCAAATGCCATTTAAAAATCATTCACCAAGGCTTTTTAAAAAATTCAGAATGCTATTTGTACATGGTAGTTATTTTTAAGGTGTTTAATAGTATTTGGGAACAATTCTGGTTCTCAGACTTTTACTTTCCAAAGTGAAAGAAGCCTTCTATAAGAAGCCTACAATTAAATTCTTAAAAATAAATGCCATGTCTATTGTTTGTTTAACATGTTAGAATTGTATGAAAAGTATTTGATTATTAAGATGTGTCATATAACTCACTGTGCCAGTGACAGTTAATTCACTTTTATCAACATAGATATGGATATGTGTGTGCCACAAAAATTATGAAACTGAGGAAAATACTTGAAAAAGTTGAGGCTGCATCAGGATTTACCTCTGAAGAAAAAGGTGACCCTTTTAATTTATAATATATGCATTGAAAATAACTTAAAGTATGTTATTTAACAATATGCTAAATTATTTCCTGAAATATACCTGTTTAGTTTAGAGGATTACTTTTAGGTTAGAATTATTTGAGTAGGCTATGGATATAGCTCAGTGGTAGAGTATACACAAAGCCTTGGGTTTGATTCCCAGCACTGCAAAAATAAATGAAAAAATTTCCATGTGACATGCATATTTCTCCTGATTTTGTGATTTTTCTAAAGTGGATGTGATGTAAAAACAACTCTTTAACAGGCCAGCTGGCTCTATAGTAGATGACTAAGTAAAAGGCTTTCCTTGTTGCCAGCACTGGTGTTTGGAGTTGCTTCTCTTCCTGTGGTGAGGAGGGAACTGAAGGCTCACAGTTGCCCACTGTGCTCCTTGTTGAAAGGGGTTGGAACAGCTGGCCAGTACTTCATCTTCTCACAACTGAGGCACTTGCTCAGATTCAACTTCTGACTTTGAGTTTGTTAACAGTATACTATAGCCAGCCATGACATTTTATTTAAATAAAAGGAAAAATAGGGCATATATCAGGTATTATTCTACTGAAACCCCCAAAAGACCTAAAAATGATTTCACTATGTGTGAATGAGTATATTCTTCTGTTAAATAGGGCTACATGACAACAAAATGAAAAAGTAATGTTTTGTTATAGCCCTTTAAATAAAAGTTTCCACTTGTCAGGAGAATTGAAAAAAACTAAACTTTTAATTGAAATAATATTGAATGAATGAAACAACTTTCATTGTGGAAATGTGTCTGTCATAAAGAATAGAATGCTTTTTAAACTTTCCTGTGATTTACTTAATTTTTTTTGTTTTCTCCTAGATCCTGAAGAATTTCTAAATATCCTGTTTCACGATATTTTAAGGGTTGAACCATTGCTAAAAATAAGGTAACTCTCAAGTTATCTAGAAGCGTTGGGGAAGTAGACCTTCTTGCCGGCTGCCATTGCTCAGTAGGAATGAAGTCCTCGGTGTTCTCAGAGTGTAGCGAAGCAGTGCAGCCACAGATGTGGGTTTTGCTAGCTGCTGTCCTCTCTGTGAGATATACTTAACTTGCAGAGAACAAGGTGAACCTGTCTTTTTAATTAGCTCTAGTGACAAATGTGCCCACAATTTAATTACTTGTGAAATTGTATATGGATATTTTTGGAAGTGCAGTTAATGAACTTTAAAAAAAATTATTCTAACTGAATTAAAAAACAAAACAAAACAAAACTTAGAGCATTGTTTTTGGCTTCCCATAACTTACAGAACTCATTTAGCCTTAAATTAGATCTTTAGTTCTCAGTTTAGTAACTTGATCTCTTCCTTTTCCCCATGTTGAAAGAATACCTGAGTTTACTTTGATGCGGTTCTTAGTGAGATATTGTAAACGTTTGAGTTTCCCAAGTCATCTGAGTGGTCACAGTCTGAATGGTGGGCCCCTCTCAATCTCAGTCTTGGTTTCTCTGGTGAAAATCTTAGGAGTGTGCTGTCTACTTCCTTAAGAGCCCAACACTGATAAGTTCACCTTATCTCTGTGTCTAAGCCATGTAATTTGAAGCAGTGTTAAACTGATTTGTGGGACCAAGGGAAGTACCACAGTTAAAGTTTGGTACTCTTCTAAAATCTCTAACAAATGAACTGACAAGATTTGTAAGCATTGGGTGTACATACTTATTAGCAAGTCAGAGTTGGTAATCGATTTATTTGTGCCTAGAAAATCCTAGAGAATTGTCTACAAAGAATTAACAAAAGAATTTATAATCTAACCATGTAAAAAGTAATCATGGAAAAATCAGCAACATTTTTGTATTCCTTCAAGCATATAGAAATGGGAATATTTCATGTTTTAGGAAAGAAAAATAAGCAATCAATTTTTTAAAGGTAGAGTTAAAAAAGATTTACACTGAGCTACAAGGTAGATTGACTAATTAGTAAGAAAGATTAAATAATTAAATATGTTAATTTTTGGTTTGTTTTATTTTTAATGATTTAATATTATTATTATTATTATTATTATTACTACAGCCCCACCACAGTTTCCCCTCCCTCCTCTCCTCTTAGTCCCTCTCTCCCACCTTGTCTCTGTCCCCCATCCACTCCTCCATTTCTATTCAGAAAAGGGCAGGCCTCCCATGGATATCAAACAAACATGGCATATCAAGTTATATATCAAGACTAGGCACCTCCCTCGTGTTAAGGCTGGAGAATGTAACCCTGTATGAGGAATAAGGTCCCAAAAGCCAGCAAAAGAGTCAGAGACAGCCCCTGCTCCCACTGCTAGAAGTGCATATTGACAGAATCTTAACCTATTGTCTTTCCTTTTTCTAAAAACGCAAGAAAATGATTTTAGAGTTTTCTACAAAATGAAGTGGGTGAAAATATTGACAGGTTCTTTTATTAAAAAAAGAATTTTATTATAATTTGTGAAGGCAAAACAATAGACATTAAAATAGTGTATAATTAGAAGTGCTTATCAGTAGACTTGAAAATAAAGCTTAGTAGTGTTGAAAGAAAAATAACATGATATGGGACGTGACCTTTTTTGGAAAAAGGTCAGTTTTGGTTTTTATCTTTAAATTTTTTTTTATTTGTTTTGCCTTAAAGCATCATCTTACAATATTTCCCTGACTGGCCTGTAGCTAGAACAGGCTGGCCTCAAACTCATTGAAATCCACCACACCCAGCTGCCTTAAAATTTTTTTTGAAAGCAGAACAAACATTAATTATTAAGGAAAAGCAAGAAAGAGAGGGACTTGAAGAGAGGAATAAACAGTTTTTACTTGTTAGTGAAATAAACTGAAGGTGCTTAAATTTTTACCCCCCACCCCTCCAGTCTAGCCCTATCTAAGGGACATCAAACTTCCCAGGGTTAATATAGGTTGACCATTGCAGTAACTCAATGAAGTAAGGCAGAGTCAAGCACTGCTGAGAGGGTAAAGACCTTTGTGGAGTTTCAAATGGTGACTGGGCAGTTCTTTACCCCTTCCCACACACCTCCAAGCAATTTGCTCATGTTCTCGCCGGCTACTTCCTAAAGACTATGGAATGGTTGTTTGAGTTCTTTTTGTCCCCTCAAGTGCCATTCATCTCTTTATGGGGGAGGTCAGCTGTTCAATAGGAAGTTGAGTGCCCTTATAATGAGAAATAAATAAAAACAATCCAAAGAGGTATAGGATATTTTTAAATGGTCAAAAAGAAAGACTAAGACGAGTGGAGGATAAAAGTAGATTTGATTAACAAAATCAGATAAGCATTCAAAGTAGAATTTTAAACATAGTAAATGTGTATGAGGAGGGTAGACTCACTGAGGGCAGTAGACACAGTGGAAAGGGACTTGTCTATTGGAAGATGGAGCTGAGAAGGCACCCTGAGTGGAAGCTAGGTATAAAGAGTTGGAAACCAGAAAGAGGGGATGGGCCATAGAAAGTAGATTGTAACCAAGTTCTTGAAGGGAATGCTAGAACAGGGTAAAGTTATACAAACGTTTTTGAATTTTGATGTTTAGTTATAAGAATAAGAATTTATAGAGTTCCCAAAGAACCAAGACTAAATTATCACTCAGAAACATGTTATAAGATACACTTAAGGTGAGACCAGCAGAACTTAGACAAAAGGAATAAGAAGTCAAGAAATAGGTAAATTTAGGTAAATTGAACTTTACAATTTAAAAAGCAGTGATAGCCAGGCGGTGGCAGCTCATGCCTTCAATCCCAGCACTCCAGAGGTAGAGGCAGGCAGATCTCTGTGAGTTCAAGGCCGGCCTGGTCTACAAAGCTACAGAGAGAAACCCTGTCTCAAAAAAGTCAAAAAAAAAAAGGGGGGGTGGGGATGATAATTGCATGTGTAGCACTAAAGATAAGAAATTGAAATGAAAGTCATTTAATGAAAAACGATGGTGAAGGAAGCAGACAGAAAGATGGGACGACATTAGCAATCAAGAAGCAGATTTGCAGTTTTCAAATTGTGTTTGAAGCATGGTATTTGCTTTCTTTCCTTTTCCTTTCACTTTCCTTTCCCCTTTTCATTTCCTTTCCTCCTTCCTTTCTTCCTTCTTCCCATTTCCTTTCCCCTTCCCTTCCCTTCCTTTCTTTTTTTAAAGAAGGAAGGGCTTCTTTTAGCCCAGAGTTTGAGGGTACAGTCCATCAGGGTGAAGTTGTGATGGGGCTGTGAGGCAGCTCGTGTCTGCATCTGCAGTCGGGAAGCAGGTGGAGATGAATGCTGGTGCTCATCTCACTCTCTCCTTTTCATTTAGTCTGGGGCCCAAACTCATGAAATGATGCTGCCCACAGTTAGGGTGGATCTTCTCACCTCAACCCAATCAGACGTGCTCAGAGGGTTATCTCATAGATGATTCTAGATCCTGTTAAGTTGACAATATTAACATCACAAGTTTACTTGTCAGCTTGATAACCAAACATAACACTTAAAAATTAAGTTTGATTTATTTTTAATAGTGTGTATGACTGTAATGCCCACAGAAGCCAGAAGAGGATGTCAGATCTTCTGAAGCAGGAGTTACAAGCAGTTTTGAACCACCTGTTTTGGGTGCTGGGGACTGAGCTCTGGCCCTCTGTAAGAGCATCTTGACTTCCTCACTGCTGAGACGCTCCCTACCACTTCTGGTTGAGAGCCTTAGCTTTTTAATGGCTGAGCTCTCTCCAGCCCTACACATACATTTTGTTTTTGTTTTTAAGTTCTTTGAGAGAGGATTTCTCTGTATAACAGTCCTAGCTCCTGGGTGTCCTGGAACTCACTTTGTAGACCAGGCTGGCCTCAAACACAAAGATCTGCCTGCCTCTGCTTCTGGAGTGCTGGGATTAAAGGCTTGCACCACCATGCCTGGCTTAAACATATGGTTTTAAAGCTATTACTTTCTACTCTTTGTCCCATCTTTAATGCAGAATAATTTATTCTAACTTCAGAAGTCTCTATAATCTTTAATGTTCCAACACTGTTCAGAGGTATAAATAGTCTTTTTAACCATGAGTTCCTGAAAAACCAATAAACGAGTTTTATACTTCCAACTTACAGTGGCATAGGGTTAGCTTCTTATCTCAAAGGGAAGGAGACAGAGGCAGAACAAGAAAAGGTCAGACCAAAGCAAGACTGACACTAGTAATAGGAACCCAAGCTCCTTATAGCCGTTTGATGACATCACAAACCTCACATGCTCAATATAGAGCTACAGGATTTGGAAATGAGTACAAGACCTCAGGACCCACCTATGATGGTCTGCACCACAAAGATAGGTCCAAACCACACCAATCTATGAGTGTTTTTATATTAATATTTGTAAAATGTCCATGCTCATTTTTAAAAAGTTACCAAATTTGTATTCTTGTGCCCTTGGATTGTCCCTAGTGGAGAATATAACCCAAATAGCATGGCTTGGTACAATTTCACAACTTTGTTATTATTCTGTAGGTTTTCAGACTTGTAAAACACTAGCGGCGAGGCTATTTAATTTTTTTATCATTTTCTAAAAATTTCATAAACTCTATATTGTATATTGAGTGTATTTCCACTATACCTCCATCCCTTCTGTCCCTTTTCATGTCTCTCTCCTGTTCCCTAGGCAGCTTCACTTCTACTTTGATGTCATATACACATTAATATAATGCTTTATATCTATAGAAAAATCTAGGAACCATAAATGAGAGAAAACATACATTGTTCCTCTTTAGGGGACTAATTTAATTTGTTTAATATGTTTATTTCCAGTTATATCCATTTTTCTATGACTGACATACTTTGTTTTTTATGGCTAAGAAGAACTCCACTGTGTATATATTTTTAGGAGTGAGTTTTTTTGTTTTGTTTTGGTTTGGTTTGGCTTGGTTTTTGTTCTTTGTTTTTGTTTTGTTTCGGTCTTTCAAGACAAGGTTTCTCTGTGTAGCCCTGGCTATCCTGGAGCTATCTTTGTAGACCAGGCTGGCCTCAAATTTACAGAGATCCACCTGCCTCTGTCTCTTGAGTGCTGGGATCAAAGGTGTATGCTACCACGCCTGGTCCTAGGGGTGAGTTTTGAGTGGCTGCTGTTCCTCCCGTTAGCTGCCATGCCTCCTTCTGGCTGTCCTTGCTTTTTCTATGTGTTGTTTCTTACCTCTATTATTTTTGTTTTTGCTTCTACACTGTTTTTAACTTAATAATTTTTCTATGACTTTTTGGCTTTGTAGTGATCAACAACCAATTAAAATGTTATTCCAGAATAACTGCTAGTTTCTTGGATTATAGATTATAATCTGTTCTTATTAGTTTTGAGTTCTCAAGAGCGCTGTAGCTTGTTATCAGATTTTAAGTTTTATAAATTCAGGACATAATTTGCTTGGGGAAACTGAAGATCACTATGGGCTGCTCTGGGTTACAGAGGTTTCGTTATAAAGATCACTCTGAGCTGCTCTCTGAGTTACAGAGGTTTTGTTATAAAAACTACCAAAGTTTTTCTCTAAAACTCTTTAAATCTAGATACTCATTTAAATAATGTGATTCTAAACTCAGGCTTGGCTAAGAAAGAAAAGCAGTAACCTGAAAGATTAAAAAACAATCTTCTTAGTAGAGTTAGTTCTACAGATTACTAGTTAGCTGGTAAGGAAAGGGAGATGTTTAGACATTTACCTGGTATTTGTCAAATCTGTGGGTGACCATCTGAAGAGCACCTGGTAGCTGAAAGACTAGAGGACAGTTGTTAGGGTTCCTGGGCTTCACACCTTGCACTGCTTTGACTTCCTAGGAAATTATCCTTCCCTACCTCCTAGGGTATTATTTTAGAAGTACAAACGTTTTATCTAGAAGGTCTAAGAGTCTATCATTGAGGCACTTAAGCATTTGTTCTAGTCATTAAAAGCAGTGCTCACAACCATCTGTAACTCCAGTTCTAGGGGGCCTGTCACCTATGGCGAAACACCACTGTACAGAAAATAAAAATAAATACATTTTTTTTAAAAAAATCAGCTTTTGCTTTCTAGATTTGGAGGGAGAAATCGAACTGATTATTGTTCATATAGTGTTTCTTGACTGGGATATGACTGGGATATTAGTCTACATTTTTCTTGTAATGGCAAAGAACTTTTGAATAATTTATGAATATGGCAGACATAATTTATGAGGTCTTCTGCATAAGTGCATTTAATTATCTCATCCAAATCATTGTCTTTCACCTGGCATTTAGATGATCCAGAGCTGCACATCATGGTATTGTATTCTCGGGTACTGTCAGACGGCTTTATATTCTGATTAAGGCATTTAATAGAGAGCTTATGTGCATTTCTTTCTGCATGATCCTAGATCAGCAGGCCAAAAAGTTCAAGACTGTAACTTCTATCAGATTTTTATGGAAAAAAATGAGAAAGTTGGAGTTCCTACAATTCAGCAGTTACTAGAATGGTCTTTTATCAACAGCAACCTGAAATTTGCAGAGGTTAGTGATTCTAACTGGATTTTTATTGTTAACTTTATTTTGTTTCTTACTAGTGCTGGGGATTAAACCCAGGACTTTTGTACACACTCGACCACGTGTTGCCCCACTAACTATAACCCAGCTCTCACTGTGCTTTAACCAAGAATAGTTTGAAGAAACAGTTAAGAAAACACATTTTTAAAAAGTGGTGTTGTAACTTCATTCTTTTAAAAGAAAGCCCCATAGCTTAAGTTGGAATGTTTTGTATTTGGAAAGAAAGAAAAGCTAACTTTTAACTTTAAAGTAGTCTAATGCCAAAGATATGCATATACACATTACATATTTATGTTTTTAGTTGTCATTTTACCCATGCATATTATCTAAATGTGTCAAAGGTAATGTTAAGAGATAAGATGCCAGTAAGTTCTGCATGGGTTTGCTAATAAATGCAGTAGAACAGTTTCTTTGATTCTGAGTGGATGATTTATAGTAATGCATGCTGTGGTCTGTTTTTATTATGTTCATCTCTGAGGTGGTATTTTACTGCCTTCTTTGCTGATGTTTAGGTAGCATTATCTATGATTATGTCCAACAGGAAAGTCTGGAAGTGCTGCACTGCATCCGCATTGCACATTCACAAGTGGGCTCCGTTTCATGGGCCAACAACACTGGTGAAATCACTGCTTGGTTTGACAGCCATGACTATTTCAGTTTCATAGGGAAACTTTTTTACACGTTTCCTCTATTAGTAAAGGGAATAGGACTTAAGGTGTTAGACATTCTGCGTAAGCACTATATTGAGCTGAGTCCCCAGTTCCTTAGGACTTTGATTTCTAAAACTATGTATCTTTTTTTTTTTTTTAAGGCACCATCATGCTTGATTATCCAGATGCCTCGGTTTGGAAAAGACTTTAAGCTATTTAAAAAAATTTTTCCTTCCCTGGAATTAAATATAACAGATTTGCTTGAAGACAGTAAGTATACAGCCCTTTGTTTTATTCTGGTTTTTAGAAATAGTTGGCCTGGACTTTTCATTAGTTATAGATACAGTACTTCTGACAAGTAATTCAGTATCGGAAGAGCTTGGGCATATTAAGCCAATAATTTGAGTGCTGAGAATTTATTCTGAAAAAAGTAAAAGTAAAAATAAATATTTTAAATACAAAATCACTAATTATCTGACAAGAAATTAGAGACAATAAATGTTAATAAGAGGGAAGTGGTTAATTGGATTATATATCCAAACAATGGACCTACTATCATTAAGACCCAGGGGTTTGAGGGCAACACATATGAAAACAGTGGTGTGTGGTAGTTAGTGGAAGGGAAAGCATTAAGAGGCTGGATGAGAGGTGCTTGAGATACACGTGTACTTGGGTACACACAGTTATATAAATACTAGGACATAAAACTGTTAGAGAAAGTTCATAATGGTAGAGATTGTCACTGACTTAAGACTTTATTTTCTATTGGTTTTCTCATATATATATATATATATATATATATATATATATATATATATTATATCTTTGGACATTTCATGACCAGAGGAACAATTCTAGAATAGGTTATTTGGGGGGAAAAAAGTCCTGAAAAATATTACAAATACAAGAAAATCCAAGTGAAATTTTAAGAGGGTTAGAGAGGGCTAGACTCCCCCCAGCATTCTTGTTTTCAAAGGATAGCTTTTATTTTTAATAACAGAATATCTTCTAAAAAGGCTTCTTCCTTCCCTCTCTGCATCCGGTAGCTCCCAGGCAATGCCGCATCTGTGGAGGACTTGCAATGTATGAGTGTAGAGAGTGCTATGATGACCCCGACATCTCAGCAGGGAAGATAAAGCAGTTCTGTAAGACCTGCAGCACTCAGGTAACCCTCACTCACTGGTGCATGTGCTCTGCAGCAGTCAGCTGCTGATGGTCCAGTACATTGCAGGGTTTGAAAGCCTTTCAGAATCTAAGTGTACTTTAAACATTCACAATAATTATTATTGCTCATGTCTCATCTGCTGGTGTGTGTGTGTGTGTGTGTGTGTGTGTGTGTGTGTGTGTGTAGTACTTGATTGTGTTTGTAAGAGATGTGGTCAGTGAAAGTGATTAGAGTCTATCCCCTTGAAATACAGCATTAGCTCATGTGTGGCATTTTCTTAATGGTCCATTTTAGGTTCACCTCCATCCCAGGAGGTTGAATCATACATATCATCCAGTATCACTTCCCAAAGACTTGCCTGACTGGGACTGGAGACATGGCTGCATCCCCTGTCAGAAGATGGAGTTATTTGCTGTTCTCTGCATAGAAACGAGCCACTATGTTGCTTTTGTGAAGTATGGGAAGGATGACTCTGCCTGGCTCTTCTTTGACAGCATGGCTGATCGAGATGGTATTTAAAACTTTTCTTTTAGGGTGAGATGCTTCCTAGTGAGCTATCGAGAGCACTTGTTTAGAGTAGTAGAGTATTTTTTGAGAGAATTCTTTGAAGGATATCATAGTGTTACAGACTTTAATTTTCAAAGAGTATTAATAAATCTGTACTCAGACTAAGTAACAATAATGTTGTGACATCTTGGCCCTTATACAGACTTGTTAAAGAGTCTTGTCCATAATCTCAGACTTGGTAGGTAGAGGATTGTGAATTAGAGGTCAATTTGTGTTACATAATGAGAACCTGTTTCTGTTTGCTCCACCTCAAAAGAAAAAACACAACAAAACATAGACTCCTAAAATTCTTCTTTTAGAGCTGATTTTACCATCTACTTCCTTTCCTTTTTATATACAGTATAGTAGCCATTTTATTGAGGATGTAAATGCTAAGCTCTGTGGGATACTTTGGTCATGGAAATCATGCCTGTTTTTTTTGATGTTTAAAGCTAAAGTTTAAGATGTGAAGGTTGCATAGTTTGTATTTAACTCCATCTTCCTGATCTCATGTATTCCATTTCAGGAAGAAACCTTTACTCAGTGAGCTATTTTTAGGAAGCTTAGTTATTACTTAGTATACACTTGAGTGTCAGAATCTCAAGGGGTTTTGGTAGTAAGGTACTTGCCACAGTACCCCACATACCACCTTTTATCTACAGTTATTTTCCCAAGCCCTAGTCCCCCAGGGCTTCTGATGTGGTTCTCCAATAACCAGAGACACCTAGTGGCAGCTTCTTCTTTTTTTTTAAGATTTATTTATTTATTATGTATACAGTGTTCTGCCTACATGTAGGACTGCAGGTCAGAGAGGGCACAAATCTCATTATAGATGGCTGTGAGCCACCATGTGGTTGCTGGGAATTGAACTCAGGACCTCTGGAAGAGCAGGCAGTGCTCTTATCCTCTGGGCCATCTCTACTGGCAGCTTCTTGACCAACAGCTCTCTATCTCTCCTCAGCTCTCAGATGCCTGAGGTTACAGCCTACCCCTCCTGTGCATGTGCTTCATCCATTTAGCATTAGCAGCATACCATTTAGGAAAGCACTTGGGAAAGCAAATCCATTATCAGATGATCATGCATATTCTGATGATCAGTATGTAAACCAACAGTGCTAGAGGTGTGCAAGTATGTCCTTAAAACTCAGGGAAACAGTAGTCTGTAATTACTAGATTTGCTCAAAATTGGATAGTCTTGTGGAAAAGTGTCAGGCTGCTAATATCTGAGATGGACATAAAAGTATGAAGGGCTGAGGTTTTGTGTGTACACATGGGTAGCAGCCTGCAAATAAGGGCTGCATCTTTTCCTAAATACTTGTCCTTTTACCAATTTTATTCTCTTTTGTCTGCTGAACCCTCTCAGAAACCAAAAAAGGACATTGTAATTCTAGAGACAGAAAGTCAAACAAAGCCCCTGCCCCCCTCAGTTCTGGGAATCAGTCTTCACTAAATTCTAGGATAATAAAATTGTTCTTGTGGGACAGGGTGCCAAGAGGACTTAGAAGTTTGCTGCTCACAAAGAGAGTTCTCCTCTCTCCGTAGGTGGTCAGAATGGTTTCAACATTCCACAAGTGACACCCTGCCCGGAAGTGGGAGAGTACTTGAAGATGTCTCTGGAGGACCTGCACTCTTTGGATTCCAGACGGATTCAAGGCTGTGCACGTAGACTTCTTTGCGATGCATACATGTGCATGTACCAGAGTCCAACCATGAGCTTGTACAAGTAACCAGGTCATCTGAAATGGGCAGAGACCGAGCACAAAGCTTAGCGCTGTGTTTTCCTCCAGCTGGTGGTTCTGTCTGGCGCCCATTGCCGGCAATGGGTGTCTTTTGTGGTGATGGCCCTTCAGCAAAGGATTCCTGTGTTTCCAAACAAATTGCTTTTGTGTTCTTGAAGTATTTAATAAGAAGCATTTTGCACTCTAGGAAGTATGTTTGTGTTGGTTTTTTAAGAATCTAAATGAAGTTATTAATACCTGAAACTTTTAAGTTAACTGCATTGATGATATGATATTTTTGGAAGCATATAATTTTAATTGTGACGTCTAAAACCTCTTTTAGTCCATTGAGGATGTAAATAAATATCTCTTCTTATGGACCAAGGATATGAAATAAATTTTCTTTTGTAGCTATTGATTGCCTTGAGGAAGAAATAATACGGTTTTATTAAGAGTCTACCTTTACTTCAGTTATTGGAGGTGTGCTGAGTTTAATTGTTAATTTTTACTATATAGTGCTGATTTCCTGCATGTCTGTATTTTGCCGAGTGTCTATGTTTCTGAAGCAGTGGTCAGAACATGCTGAAATTCCTTTTGTGGTGTTATTTTCTATTTGTTCTGGTTTTGAGATAAGTGAGTGACTTTGTTATAAAATGTCAATTTTTGATGTCATCTTCTTGGAGGATTAGGGTACATAGCAATTGGAGCATTTCAGTCATAGTAACAACTGGTACCTAACAGGTTTTCTATAGGAGCTCTTAAGTATTTATGGAACAAGGCACAGTGATTTCTGAAATGACTGGAGTGGTAAGTAGATAATATATTCTTATACAGATACACACTCCAGGGAAAAAAAAGTTGGCTTAGAGACATTACTAACATTTCCCTGAAAAGTTGTATTAGATATTTAAAACTCATTTCAAATAAATTATTTTTAATTTAAGTGAACCTCTCATAATTTAAATAAGACTGTGGTTTTGTTTGATCAGAGAGCATTATATTCACTGATGGCAGTTTTGTGTGACTTGAGATAATGACTACAACATCAGTGTGTAACTGGAATGTTAGTGACAGCTTCATCCTCCTGGCTGAAGAAGTAGAAGGTGGATGTTGTCTTAGGACTGCTAGTGTGTGTATAGACCACAGTGGATGCGCTATACTGGAACTATCAAGTATACAAGCCAGAACTATAGGTTGTTTGTTGTCTGAGTGTTGTTTTGTGGTATAGTGTCTTTGTGGCTGTCTTTCTGGAATAGTGTCTCAAACTTACAAGACAGAGATGGTGTTTATGTGTAGCATATGGCTTTATAAAATATTTAATGTCAAAAGAGAGTCTTATAAATCTTATTGTTATTTTTAAAGGCACTTTACTCCTTGGTTTTATTATTCCATTTTGCTAGCGTGTATTAGCTTTATAAGTCATAAGGCACAGAAGCTCTTCCATTTTGTAATCTTTGTACTTTTGCAATAGAAAAGTACATAAATTCTGCACAGACTTTGGTATAGCTAAGTACCTAGGCTTGGTGGTGAGGCCATGACTAGATGTGAGTGAAGATCTCCAGCTCTGTGCTGGCCTTGCCTCCATTGCCTTGGGACAGGGGAGAATGGTGAGCGCTGGGCCTGAGGCTTGCAGGCTGGCCACCCAGAGTCCAGGCACCCTGAAATAAGTATGTATTGAATGAGTTCATTAGTGGGACTTTGAAAGGCTTAGCTGAGAAATGATCAGGAATCTATATAGGCACGACTGGTTTAACAGTGAAAGAGGGGTGAGGGAAAACATTGTTTTTTTTTAATTGTAGAAATGGAGGCAAAACATCCATGTTGAGAAAGACCAGTTACTTGGCTTTCAGAGCAGAGGAGTGAAAGCCTGTTTGACAGTGATTCCAAGGTTGGGGTGCACTTTGTGAGTGGGCAGGATCATGTCCACAGGCAAATCCTAGCAAGGTTTTCCCAAAGGAATACTTTGTGTTCTTTAGCAGTAGTGGGTGGGTAGGGTACACAGTGGCTGGAGAGGCCTGAGGACCACAGCCAGTGGGAGCATTCCCTCGTGCTTTCTCATCCCTCTGGATAGTCCCTCCTTATTTCTGAGAGCCTGGTTTGCTGCAGGATAATAGGGCTGTACTATGTGATGCAGATGTGTGCCCGTTGATTGATTAATTTTTAATCGTAGGTTTTCTGTGCTGCTTCCCATTGCCTTTTAAAATGTTTTGATTATCATTTTTCCTTATCAAGATGATAGTATAGTAGGATCATCTTACTTACAACATGGTTTATAATCCATAGCTACAAATAGAAAATATAAGAATTCATATTTCTCTACCTTGAAGTAAATCTGTGTATGTATATGAAGACTCAGGGGGATGCAGAGGGAGAGGGAAGGGGGCCAGGCACATTTTAATACATAAACTAAATGTCTAGCCCTTCACTGCCAGCTTCATAAAGAGTCCAACTCAATTCACAAAATAATGTTTTCTAAAGTGGGGGAAATGCATTGAAAAACAGAACTAGGTATCTGTATAGTGCAGTTGTTGGTAGTTGCTATGCATTTTATCCTCAGAGTAGCTTAGAGTTTTTTATTATATGTTTGCCAAATGTTTAGGTAAATTGCCAGGCTCGTCTTACCTCTGATCATGTCTTTTTCTTTCATATGCTCTCAAGCACAGAGGGGGACAAAGAATTGACTCTGATGAGCTTGTCAATCCTTTGGTTGTCTTAATGTGGCATTTCCATAAATCCAGGAAGAGCAGCCTTCCTGGTTGGATTGCAGTAAGCAGCTGTATAATATTATATCTGTTTGCATTATCCTATACTGAGACAGGAGTGCAAAATACAGAACTTGGCCTTGGTGAGCAATTGCCAACAAGTATTAGACATTTATTAGGTGGCTAGGATATGGCATGGGGCCTATGAGGCCTAGTGCCTGCTTTCATACAGCTTACTGTCCAAGTTCAACACCAGAGCATCTGTTGATGATTCTTAGCCTAGGTATGGGTGGCAGGCCTATCTTGGGACCAGTTTGGGAGACAATGTAGTGTGACAGGGAAGTAGAGGACTAAGGAGCAAAAAGCCTGGGTCCTCTCTCCATCACTTGCCCTGTAGCCAGACAACACCTTGACTTCCTGAGCTTTAGTTTCTTGCTCTGTATGATGAAGGGGTTGGACTATACAGTCGGATAGGGAAAAACAGGACAAATTGTCAAGGTTCTAGGCCATGCCTAATGGATCTGATTTCCTAAGGAGGTAGGAAATTTCCACTCAGAAACTCAGCAATAGAGCCCAGTGGCCAGTGGGTATAGAATCAAAAGGTTGGAAGGCTTCAAAGACCTCCTTCTCTTTCTGTTACTGTGGGATCAAACAATGCTATTGTCTGTAGCAGTTATTCTATGTAAGTGTAAAGAAATGGATATTGACTATGTGTTTATCTGTGTTTACATATGAACTTATTATATAATAAGTGCATTTGGTATGTGTACCTCAGCCCTCTGTTCCTAGAGGGATTAGCAGTCTTTGGAATATACAAAAGTCAGAGGATATTTGATGGTACTTGCTTGGATATTTTCTTCCACCATATTTCTATAGAAACAGAGGCTCTGGGAGCCAAAGAAATAGAATTCTCATGTTGAAGGAAAAAATAACTGAATTTATTTCTACTACTTAATGATGAAAAACATTTAAATTCATGGGAACATTTTGCCTGCACCTTCCCCCTACACACACACCACCAGATAACAGGTCATCATGTCATAAACAGGATATTCTTTTTAGAATAGGTAGGTCATGATACCTGTGATTAAAAAGACTGCCCTCCTTGGGCAGCATCATCCCCAGTTCTTCACCAGGGAAATAATAGTTTCCTAATGTAGCTGGGGTGGGTGAAGAAGAGGATGTTGCGGTGGAAGCTAGTGAGCAAAAAGGGTCAGAGAAGGCAGTGAGCTGCCTCTCACAGCAAATGACAGGGCTCACATGAAGGCAAGCTTCTGTGGCTCTGGGCCTTGGCCCTCTCATCAAAGATGTCCAAGTGTGGCTTCCTGTCAGGGAATTGAGCTCCTGTGTGGACTCTTGTAAGTTGTCTTATTGGATGGGGATGGGCTAGGGTTGTCTTATTCTAAATCCTAAAGGGTTTCTCTTGAGTCCAAATGCGGTGACAGAAGCTGAGCATCAGAGCTGGCCAGGAGCAGTGAACAGGGGGAAAAGGGGGATAAACCCTTGCTGGTGGCCTTAAACGGCAGTGCTTATACTCAAGAGTACCATGGGGTCCTGACCTCTGTCCTGGTAGTGCTGACAGTTTTGTCTCATCATATTTTAGTTCTCATCTTCTTCCTAACAGATCTGAGGGAGAAGGGCTGTTGATGCTGGGGTTATCCTTCTAGGCACCACGGGCACGGTTCTCTTTTGACTTTCACTAGTTATCTTTTCTAAAGGGATTATGCTGGAGACACAACTGTCTTTGGTTTCATATTATGAAATAGCCTTGTACTGTGGAATGTTAACTCTGGAGAGTCGCCCTCCTACCGGAAGCATTCATTTAAAAAATCCCACCGGCACTCCCTAGGGGTGTGTGGTTATTATCAGTCTGACCCAAAGGAGCACATTTTGTATTCCGTTTCCTTTTCTGGTATCTTGTCCAACATGTTTTTGCCTGAAGAACATCCTTTTGTTTAGGAAACATGAATAACATTGCATAAAACAGTCCCTTACTATCAAAATGCTCCAATTTTAGCCTTAATTTTGTTAAACTTAGAGATGAATGAAGCACTGCTGTGGAAAGAAATGTACCATGTACTATTTCTGTATCATTAAAATACAGTTTTTATGGTTCTTTCTCCTTGATTTCTTTAGGGGAAGGGTCTTGGGGTGAGGGGAACATAGAAATTGGTTCTTTATCAAGCTTCCAGGCACATATTATGTCTAGGCAGTATTATTTCAGGGTGTTGTCATTTGGCTCTGGGCATTTGCCCACTCTGGTGCTGGTTATGGCTCATCGCCACCATCTCTAAGCCTCCAACCACAGGTTACTCCTCCTGACATGCCATTTCACCTGCAGAACTGTTCGTTTCCGAGGGTGTGCACTAGGCCTAAGAAGTCCCAAGTGTGTAACTGCTGCTCTGTCCCAGGGTGTAATCATGTGACATTTTAGGGACTGCATTTTTACTCCAGACTTCTTTTAGGTAACAAAATGCCAAGAAATCCTCCTTTCTTGAAGACCAAGCCACTGCATCAGGAAGGGTTACTAGCGTGCTAGTCTAGTATATCAAGGTTTCTGTTTAGAAAACCCACAGCCAATAACATGGTCATGCAGATAACAGCATGGGCTGTTCTGCAGCTTTACTTTTTCTTGCTGAATTCAAAGGTTTGCATACATTTTCATAGATCTCATTCTTGCATTTGGGCATATTGATGTGACAGGGATTGCATTGCCCATCTGTGGATATTAACTGTCAAGTGAAAACCAGACTTTGTTGAAGAAAACTGACCTAGTCAGAGGAACTCTAGTCCTACCCTTGACCTCTGGCCAGACTTCCTGGCACAATGAAGGATGGGGTGCATTGTCAGAGTAAGGGTTCTCCATCCTGGCTGGAGGTCAGGTTTACACAGGGTTCTTTTTTGTTTTGTTTTCCTATGGTGCTCATGTTGTACATGACCCCATGGGAAAATCTGAAAATGGTCCAGAGATATTTGTCAGGGCTCTATCCATTTGTCTCATGTGCAGTCAAGTAGGAACCACTTATGGACAGAGTTTTTCAAGGCAAGCAATGCACACATCATCCCTAATGGGAACCTTCTGCTCTAGTGGAAGATAGTCTGTGGATGCAAGCTCCAAAGGGGAATTAGAAAAATCTATGGAAAAGCTATGGAAAAGCTACTGGTCCAGCCTGCCAAGAAAGATAGGGTGCTGTGTGCTGGATATAGGAGAGATGGTTTAGAAGCAGGGTGGAAGAAGGTT